TAGGTATGAGGGTTCTTGTAGAAATAATTTTTGGTCAGCCGGTCTGACACATGCGGAAATCCATCACCATGCTTATAAATATCCATGGTGATGCAGTAATCCACATGTGTCAGATATAACAAATGTATCCATCGTAGGATGGGTAAAAGTTAGGGTTTATCTGTGGAGTGTTTAATGAGAGTAATCCTTTGATTTGATGTAGCACTTTATCACACCATCAAAATGTCTCAAAGGGCTTCACAGGATTTAGTGTAATGATTGTAATTGTATTTTGTAAGTGTTGATTATAATTGCTTCTTAGATTAAGTCAGAGTAAGTGACGTGGTGTTTAGTTTTCTTATAATCCTTGGCAGTTCGGTTGGGCTAAGGACTGGAAGATTTAATTCCTGATGGGATGACTGAACCCTTTGCTCTTTCAAAGTTGACAAAATGAGGAACGTGCCTTAAACAAAAATTCTCCTAGTGGAGATGTAAGCAGGACTCAAGATGACCCAGCTCCAAGGAGACATGCCTGGCAAAGGCTTGCATCTCTGCAGTAATCCAAGACACTGTTGATAGCTGGCTAGTCTGTAGAGCTCATCACTGAAATTTGGCAGTGAGTATATGTCCTCCATTCTGCATGCCAAAGCCCTATCTGGACAATTACCATGCTGTGTGGTTGCCAAAACAGTATATATTTATATGATTTTGAAAGGTTAAAGTGCTTAAGTTGCAGCACTTTGCTATATGAGTCAGCGTTTAGTTTTGCAGTCTAGCATTTTACATAATTTGTTAGTACTCAGTTCTTTAAATTCAATCCATTATTCAATTAGCTTCAAAAAGAATCAGATCAACTATTTAATGCTAAGTTTATACTGACAGGAGCAAAGCTACTTTGTGCCAGCTGTATAGTGGTGTGGAGCAATGGTGGCTCCTGACCTCAATGGGGGATAGGTTTCAAAACAAAATCCTGTCTAATGTCCCAACTCCTTTCCAGCTTCAAAAGAGGTTGGGAATCTAGCAAGGCAGCAAATAGAAACATAGAGTGTTTCTGTTTCTATAGATGTTCGTGACAGAACCCTGTGGACAAGCCTCAGACGGGGTTGGTATTTCATTGTAATAGCCATTAGAAACATAACAGGTTTAGCTTTTCTCGCTCTTAATGACAGATTGTCACTGACTTGGAGCAATATGCACACAAGGCCAAAAACATGTGTTTTTTAAAAAAAGAGGTGGTCATGTGATCTCTGATAATATTAAGCATGGGCTGCCTAATGCGATTTGGATCCTTCATGTTTATTCTTTGCAGGTGTGACTCCCATTGCTCTTGGAATCACCTGCTCCAGTTTGTGTCATAGGACTCCAGTGTGATCTGCACTGTACGAGCGCTCATTTATACTCCCTGTTTAGCAGCGAATCATTACCAAAATCATGATAAGTCACTGCCAAACAGTGCAGCACTAATATCAGATCTGTGCAAGTTTCATCTTCACGTTTCTGTTGCATGAAATTAATTATGGAAGTTTTACACACAATGGGATAAGTGCAAGGTGTTAGCTGGAGATTAGTGAAAACGGGACTGCTAACAAACCAGGTAGAGAAACTTTGTGAGGATCCAGAGAGCTGAATCACCACTTGCAGCGAGAGAAAAGCCAAACTGTTTCCACACACCAGTTAATTTACCTTGTGATTTAAGTGGTCTTTAAGGATCTCTTTTGAAAGGAATCCTAGTCATGCATTTAATGTAGCAATTATAACTCATTTGCTCTGAAGCCTAAAAAAAAGCTAAACCTGCATTTTGCTGTGCAGCTACTCTCGGAAGCTCCCAAATAATACTGTGCTGCTACAACTTTGAACCTTTCAGCTACTGCAATTCTAAACCTCACAGTTGGCCACTGTATTAAGTTCACACTGATCAACGGGTATCCTGAGGAGACATCTCCACCATAATAGCACTGCCCTGTATCTTTCAGTCTGCCACTGTTTAATTGTACGTAAAATAAAGATCTACTGTGCAAATGCAAAAAGGCTGTAACGACTTAGCAAAGATATCAACTTGCAGTTTCATGAGTGCATCTGCGTTTGGATGAAAATAATCAGTCCAGTTACAGATTTGTTGAAACAATTGGACAATGAGACCCTCTAGAACTGATTCTCTTCCTGTGATAGTTAACTGCTTAGTTGTATATAGTTAGTAGGCTGGCAGCATAGCACTTCAATTATTGCTTTATCATAGAGGAACACCAGAAAACATCTGAAGCTCATGCTGCCTCCTGTAAATTAGAGTCACTTGCCGGGTGAGAACAATAGCAATCTTCACTGCCACTGGTAATGAAGTTCAATTGTGGACTGTAATGAAGATATTCACACTTTGATAACCCTCTCATCAGCTACTTATTTCTACAATAGCTCCTTCCTCATGGCACTTCAAAATGTCTTAACAAACTAATCGTTTCCACAAAAGATTTCAACTGGTGTCTGAGATGTAGCAATCCAGACAGTAAAACTAAACAGGATCTCCATAATGTGATAAGAGGCGATATCAAATGCAAGGAGTATTATTACTACATTTTATAACTTGTCCAGATATTTTTTCCCATTATCATCTGTCAATATTTTCACCAGAATTAGCCCTTAGACAATAGGATTTAGGGAGTTGGTCAAATTATTTTAAAAAATGGCAGCCTTCAATTAAATTATGCTTGAAATGAGTTGAATGTTTTAAAGGCTACTAGTAATTATCAATGCTAATTTTTGAACAGACAAATCCTGTTCAAGTATACTTTAAAATGTTGATTTGTACAATTGCTTACAGAATCTGGCTGATCAGTGAGCTAGCTCAGTGACCCATCAATCAGATTGATTTGAAAAACCTCAGTCTGTGGAATTGATCTCAAACTACAATCAGTAAAAACAAATATTATCTCCGGTCTTTACATTTCACTCTATCTCACATTGTTTTATTTAAAGCTCAAATATGTATAATTTATTACAATCCATAAATGATTGATTCAATGATATCTCCAATCTATTTGAGATGCAAAGCAATATACCTATGTCGGACCTCAGATATCTATAATTGTCAACTCTGCAGTTTTTTACATTTGCACACATGCTGCAATTTCTGTCTGTTTCAATATTTTTGTTGGGAGTCAAATATGAACTATTCCATCAGATGCATGATGGCAGAGGTGCAAGGCTACACTTACAGTGGAAATATATGTAGGAATGCTCTGTTTTTACAATGAACTACTTAATGGAGCAGCAGAATCCATGTTCATGACTTATGGTTCACTCACTTGGATTATTCTCAACTTTGTGCTGTCAGGGGCATTCCCAGGAGAAGGTAACGCAAATTGGAGGTTATGTTATCAAAAGGCACTTTAATGGACTTGTTAGTGGTTGCTGCAAATCAAACAGAGGCCTGGGAGCAGACTGCCTGAACTGCCTGAACAGCCCATTTCCCTGCCTGACAAGGTGGCACAGGATAATTAAAGAAAGGAAGCACAATAAAAAATACAAAGAAAAGGAACATTGAGCTGAACTGTGTTCTAAGATGTGGTGCAGTTGTACTGCAGAGATTTACAGTTTATAATCCTAATAATAATCATTGCATTTGATGAAGGGCTCTCCATGTCGAGAAGACATCTCAAAGCAGGACACACTGCAAAGTGAAATGATTGTTTATTGTGTAAAAGAACGCAACAGCCAATTTATAAGAAACTTTCTTTTCTTTTTGAGTAGTTCAATGGGATCTTTAACGTTCACCTGAACAGTTGACCTCAATTTATATCATAATAATGCTTGCATTTCATATAGCTCCTTATCGCATTGTTGAGACTTCCAAAACACTTCACAGAATATACTGTAAAATATATTTTGCGGGTGAAATACAATTTGTTGTTTCATCCAAAGGAAGACACCTCCGGCAATGCATCACACCCCTAGCAATACACTGGAGTGTCAGATTCCCCGGGACAATATGAGTTTAAAACCTCGACATGAGGCTTGAACCCACAACCCTTTAAAATCAAAGGTGAAAGTTCTACCTACTGAGCCAGGCTGCCCTAGCTTGATTTACATGGCCAATGTTTCATTTGCTGGGTGGTGATAGTGACATGGTCCTTTTGTTTGCAGATTGTATATTACGTGGTCAGAGTCTGCCTTTTAAGCACTCGGAGACACTACCCTGTGTGGAGGACTATATAAGTGCAAGTTGTTGTTGTTGTTGAAGGACTCAGTGCCTTTGTCTTTGTCCATGCTTTCTCATCCAACCCTTGTGTTCATCTATAGCTTCCATGAAATATGTGTGCCTGAAATCAATGTGTCCACAACAACACGTAGAAGTTAACTGTGGCATTGCTTTATCTTTTGTATCTATATTTTTAAAATATAAAATATAAATATATTAAGAGATTAATTTATTCTTTCTTTTTTTTGTCAGACGCAACGCAAGGTAAGACAATTAATTTTGTGTCAAATATTTTCTGTAGTGTTTGAATTATATTACATATCTGCCAATATATAATATTTACAAGAAATTATTTTTTACAGTGCCTTATAATATTAAAATGGCTCAAAGCACTTCATGAAAATTACTGTCAAGTTTAATTATATGTTAACTTACACCTGTGTTAATTAAAATGTTTTTAAAAACTTGGGTGGTCTATAACTAAAGACATTAATTGTTCCGTTGGGGTGAGACATTCCTCCCCAAATTTGTCACAAATGTTGGGCCCGAGGTCAACAATGTTATACATAATTATGGAGTTGGGAAGGGGGACAGAGTAGAGGGTGAGAAAATTGTGATTTCTGTGGACCAATTGGTCAATTGATTAGTGTGGACATAACCTTTAGTTATGGACCCAAGCAAAATTGTACAATTACTGTATGCATTAATTACCACATCGCAGATTGCAATTTTCACCCCAAGACTTTTGGCACACAACATCCTTCACTCATGTCTTTGAGTTGTTGACTTTTTGTTTGTCCAATCCTGGTCCATGTGCTTTCATTTTCAGTAATCAAAAAAGAAAAAACAGAAAGAAAATCAAAAACAGAAGCAAAAGCTCCAGCAAAAGGTAACCACATCTTAACAGGCATTCATGGAGGTACCTTTGGAGAGAATTTCACCTGGGTCTTGATTTATTGGATTTTGTTACCATTTTGAGTCCTATAGAATAGTGGTTAGCGTGCTCACCTCACAAGCGAGAAGACCCAGGTGCGATTTCTGGATGGGGCAAAATGTTAGGCGAGTTTCCTTACTTCACAAGCCTATGTTTACCTAGCAGTATGTAGAAACCCAGTTGTTAGTCGAGGGGCAGATCACTTTCTGTGGGTAATAATTCCTTTCCCCAAAAACAAAATTTGGTCATTCAATCCATGATTGTCTGTGGGACACTGTTGTACACAATTGGCTGCCACATTGCACCCATACAATACATAGTGAATTCACTTTACAAAATATTCTGTGAAATGCTTAGGGATATTTCAATGACGTGATAAGGTGCTCTATCAAATGCAAGGATTACATTATCATCATTATCAAAAAATGAAGACACTATTTAAGAATTTATCAAATTCTGAAAGCTCTGCAATCCTAAGAAGATAAAAGTAAATCTAGAGCGAGGTAGAATTTCCCCTTCACCTTTTAGTCATGAGCCAATGTTATTGATGTTCGAAAACACAACATAAGTGTTTCCTGTATTTTAAGTGTTGAAGTTTCCTTTATAACTCATTGCAATTCTCATGATGAATGTATCCTGCTGTGAAGTCTGTCAAAATCTAAGAATCCTGCATTCATTGCTAATTAATATGCATTACTTAATTATAATTCCCTGACCTGTTCTTAAAAGATGCGAGTTCAAAGGCCAGTTCAGAAGCTAATGGCTGAGCAATTACAGTTAGCATTTGTACAATTCCCCACCAACCCCCAACACTTCCCCAGTCATTGATTTGTTCAAACAATATTTTATTTCCATGAAGAAAATGGACCTGTTAGATATGCAATTTGAAGTTTGTTCAAGAATCAACGAGAAGTTAACCTGGACACAGATGGAGATGTATTCAAAGAAGATGAGAAAATAACTTGTTAATTGTTTTCAAATGTCTGGAGAATAGAGTCAATCTAATTCAGCTCTGGGTTTAATCCCAGTCAGTAATTTCAATGTTTTATCTAGGTTATAATGTAGGAAAACGTGTAGATTAACAGATGAAAGGTGTTATTGTAGTAAACATGCAACTTTTATAATAATATTAATAATACTAATGATAAAAATCCTTGCATTTGTTAGAGCGCCTTTCACGTCTTCTAGACGTCCCAAAGTGCTTCACAGAATATACTGTAAAGTGAATTGATTGTATATTTGTGGGTTAAACGTGGCAGCCAACTGCACACAGCAGTGTCCCACAAACAGTAGTGGATTGAAGTGACAAATTTTATTATTGTCTTTTTTCTTGAGGGATTATGCTTTATACTATTTCTAAGGTAGATAGAACTAGCACAGGTGATTCCACAAGAAATGGTAATGGCTTTTAAAAAGGATCTCATCAAGTTCCTGGAAATTAAAGGATTCAGTTATTATATTGTGAAATAAAAATGTGGATAGATCATTTGAATTATTAGGCTGGATGCCCAATGATCTGTTCTGCCTAAAACTATTACTATGGTACAACATAAATATAGTCAGAGCCCATTACAACACAGTAGTTTGGATCCATAAAATCAGACTACACGTTATAACTTAGACTCTCTATAAAAAATGTCCATTTCTCACTTATGCAGCAAATACAACAAATTTACATCTATGTAATGGCACCTTTCATGTCGGGAGGATATCTTAAAGTGGTTGACTCTGCTTGCTGGGCACCTGAGCTGGAGGGAGTACCTGAGGTGGATGGGGAGAAGAAAGATGACTGAAATCGCGATCGAAGAAGCAGGACTTGCTCTCACTTTATAGAGTTCAAGATTCTTCAGAGTTCAATGTTTAGTGGGGTCCTGGCCTGCTTCACTTAGCCCGTCCTACCTGCCCTACCATCGGCAGTTGGGCTTTAAGCATATCTGTTCCCACTCTCTGGGACTCCATCCTGAAGTCCTTTTGAAATGCCTCTTCCCTTGCCTCCTTCAAGGTCCTTGTCAAGACCTTCCTCTTTCACCACACTTTCTGTCATCTTTTTCCCATTCATCCCTCATCCGCTCGGCCCTCACCCCCAGCTCAGGTGCAAAACCTGGACTCTCCAGCTTCTTGGGACATCCTCCCTATGTGAAAGGCACTGTAAAAATGTAAATTTATATTGTATTATATGGAACTGGTGCTGGCCTCACTTCCTTACGCTACACTTGTACAGTGCACTGGAAGCCAGTCAGTCAGTGCCAGGAAGCAGAAGTGTACCTACTTCTTGTATATCGGAATTTATTGTGTGACTTCGCTATTCAAGGACACGCAGTACACTGGGGTGTGTTATAATAGGATCACACTGGAGATACTACTCAAGATACTGCTCAATAGAAGTGTGTATGTGTATATATATATACACAGACAGAGAGAGAGAAGTGTTTAATGAGTAAATTAATCAGAAAATCAATGAGGAATTATGATATAGCTTTACTCAGCTCACTAGTGAGCATGACAAATGATAAGATTAGAAGTGACTTGCATATTACATTATCACCTGTGGAATATGAATAATCTTTTGCAGATTTTATCTGTAAAATACAAGAATTTAATTCAACCGTGTTCCTATTATGTTAATGTGGTAGTACTAGCCTGCACATGACCCAGATGGTTCAGTTTTAATTTTAGAAATTGCTATTAATTATTCTAATTTCCCTTTATTATAAGAAAGATATGTCTTAGGTACATATTCATGTAATGGGTATTTCTATTGAATCAGAGAAGGTTAAGGAGTGATATGGTAGAAGTGTTAACAATAATGAAAGAGTTTGAGAATATGCACAACAAAACAAGAAATTGGCAATTGATTTGGAAGTTGGCTGTTTGTGTGCAAAAAGCTGACAGAGTGCGGGAAGCGAGAAGTGAATGGGGTTAATAGTGCAACTATGTTATGAGTAGGTTCATCTATAGTGAAATGCAACAATTTAGCATTGCAGCGCTCTCCCAGGATTGCATTGGATTGTCAGCCAAAGCTATGAGTTAAATTTTTTATCCAAACTCACAATTTTCTGACTTAAAGGCAAACTCTCACTTCACGGCTATTTGTGGGACATTGCTATGTGCAATTGGGCTGCAAATTCACCTACAAGAACATAATCACTCCATTTTGGGATGTTCCACTATTGTGAAGGTGCTATACCAATGCAAGAATTATTACAAGAGTATTGTTAAAAGTGCTACCAACTAAGCTAGACTAAAGTCAATAATTTAGAAGAGAGCTGGAGAATTTGAGAAAGGTGCTTAGTTTGTAACATTGTAGCATTCTAACAAAGTTACATTGTTTTGTGTTTTCCACAGTGGAAAAAAAGATGAAAGTGCCCAAGGTTGAAGAAAAAGTGAAAAAGCAGATCAAAGTGATTAAACCGGAGAAGAAAGTAGAGAAAGTAAAGAAAGTGGAAGTAAAAGCCAAGGAAGAAGAAAGAACAAAACAACAACTTCATGGAAAGAAGGAGAAACCTGGAAAAGGTGACAAACCAGAGAAACATGAAATACTCGTGAAACGTGACAAACCTGAGAAACTTGATGTACTTGTGAAACGTGACAAACCTGAGAAACTTGACAAACCCGTGAAACATGATGCACTCGTGAAACGTGACAAACCTGAGAAACATGATGTACTCATGAAACGTGACAAACCCGTGAAACGTGAAATACTTGTGAAACGTGACAAACCTGAGAAACTTGAGAAACCTGAGAAACTTGAGAAACCTGAGAAACGCAATTTACTTGTGAAACGCGATAAACCTGAGAAGCAAGACAAATCTGAGAAACATGACAAGCCAGAAAAACGTGATGTTCTCATGAAACGTGACAAACCTGAAGCTAAAGCAGAAAAGAAAGCTACAACGAGAGATAAGAAAGAGCCCGAAGTGTACAAGTCTGGCAAAGCAGAGAAAAGAACCGAAAAAGTGCAAGATGACAAAGAAGGGAAGCTGAAGTCAAAGGATAAAGGTGAAAACACAAACACTGACAAGAAAGGTGTTGGTACTAAAACGCAAAAAAGGGCATCTGAGAGCCATCAAAAGAAAAACACGGGGCATAAACCCACTTCATAAATAATAATAAGAAACACTATGATTTAACTTTCAGAGTTTTCAAGGCAAATAAATGAAGGTTTTGTTGAATGCCAATTTGAAGTACAATAATAAGCTTTGGATAGTTGCCTTTCTGATTATTCAGATTAAAGTGAATAGTTCCTAAACAAGGCCTATTCAGACATCTGAAGAATGCATGCAAAAAGCATTTTCTCTCTAATTGGGTTGTTCCTATCAGATATCATATATTGCTGTTTGACAGCCTGCCCTTCTGTGTGACTCTCAAGTGCCTGAAAAGCAAACTGAGCTAATATGCCTATAATCTCCATTTACATCTTTACATGTGTGTCCTGAAAAGAATCCTGGGATAAAACTTATACAGATTATTATCTGAATTATACATTTGCATGGTCTCTTGATTTCAAGTGGCACCGACAGAAGGTCAGGGGAAATGTCATTTTTAACACATATGAGCAGAAGATCTATTGAACTTGGGTGAAAAACATCCAGTAATGATCACTCTAATTATGTAGGGGAGAAAAGAGAATCCTTTGATTTTGAATTTTCGATTTGACAGAAAAGAATCGTAAATTTCAAGCAGACATTTTTGACTCCTCTTAGTACAGCATGCTGCTGGCTAACAAAACTCCCAAATGCAAGTAATTTTGCTTTGAATTAATTATTGTGTGTGAGACAATGTCAGATCTTGGAAATAGGGGCAGATCTGCTTTGCAGGTCGTGCACTCAACATTCCACGCATGTCCCAATATTTTTAAAGCCATACATGAAAGCAGAGGAATCCAGTATCACCACTCAGAATAAATATTAACCATAAGGGACACTTGCCTGAATCACTTATAAAATTGCTTTTATGTATTTTACTGATGAAGTGAAGTGTAAATTTAAAAAAAGAACAATAAACGAATTAAGCCTTAGAAGATAGAACATCCAACCAAAACAATCTTCTTTAATTTTGAGGATTTGTTTCATAACTAATATGAATCGAAAGGTCTCAATACGTTGAAGCATCTTTCAGAATTCAACTGATCTCATTAAAAAGGAGAGAAAAACGAGTCACAGTTGCTAAGTTCATAAAAATGACATTTCCCAGTGTTTTTTACTTGCAATGAAATTGGTGGTTTGTTTTGTTCCTTCTGGATAATTGATAGTGATGGAAGCAGATGTCCCAATGTCTGTCTGTGCCCGCATGTTGCTCTTTGCTTAATGTTCATTGTCTTTACTGCTGTATTTTTCTTCCGCTCTGACAAATCAGTATGAGCTTTGTCGCTATATGATTGACATATATGCACATGGGGCTATTTATCCAGGTACTTTTACATCCTTATAATATTTCTTATTGTGCAGAAATTACCTTTGGCATCTGGCTATAGCATTATTATTTTAATAGCAATATTATGTTAGGTAGGAAGACATTGACAACAATTTGCATTCACACTAAAGCAAATTGGTTCTTTTGCTTACCCAGATTTGAACTTACCAAATCTGCTGTTATTTCAGTCATTGTCCAAAATTGGCCTAATGCATATACATTTTCAAATAAAACTATCAGACTCATATGCATTAGAGTGTGTGAAGGTCTCTGGTCCTTAAGAATTTGGGTTCATTAAAGTATTGGGTAAATAAGCTCTTAAAATCAAGGATTACAGCAAGAGAAAAAAATCGAAGTTTATCTAATGCATAGTTTGGAAAGATTTTGCTTTATCTTAACATTTAGCTGCAGCACTGGTTTCTTGGATGTTCTTTTGAAATTAATTTTGAGCGACTACGATGCAATCATATCCTTTTTTCCAATGCTTTGAGTAAATCTGTCAATGCATTGTTAATACATTGTACGGTTAATACATTGCATTCATGACAATACAAAACATTGTATTGTAATACTGTCAAAGGACAATACAATGTACGATACAATGCGAATACAATGGATAAATGTTAGAATTTCTATTTTATTACATTTCTTCAAAGAAAAACACAGCACATCAAAATAAAGCAGTGCTTTGTATTTTGTGCTGTGCAATGTGTTCTTTTAATACAAATCACTCCTTTAATATTCAGCTAAAATAAACCAAATTTTATGTATAGGTTTTGTATTTTTATGATAGAGGTGCCAAGTGAAATGCTGATACATTAGCTAGTGAGAGATAATTAATGGCCAGAGAAACCCACCTGAATAGATCCTGGTATTCGAAAATAAACCATCATGTTATGGCAATTTTATTTTACTTTCTAAAGCAGTGGATCATACAGAGGTTCACTCAACCGAGATCAACACATGATGCATGAGAGTGGCAGTCGTTTTGCACATCACCTGGAGCAGACAAAGGGTATGAGACAAGCTTCCTGTCAGATCTTCTCGTATGTGGTACATAGAAAATAAATTGGTATTATCATAAAGAAATAATCAAAAAGGTCACTTTAAAAAAATAGAAAATGTGGACTACAGAATGGCATTTTCCTTTCTCTCACAGGATCCTTATAAAAAGGCAAGTATAAAGGATACCTTGGTGCTTATCTTTTGCTCTTTCACCAGCGCTGACTCAAATATACTCCCAGAGCAGAGGACAAGTTGTGCTTCTGTGCTGCCATTACTTTTGCATATGATAGAGATGGTGGTGAGGTGTGAAAATGCCAAGTTTGTTCCATTGCGCAAATGCAAATCTTTTCAATTGCATTTCCATATGGAATTGCTGATGTGACATTTCAGAACTTTAAATCTAAAGAACTCCAAAAGCACGAGCTGGCTGCTGGTTTAAATTATCTATTTGTCAAATCCCTGCTGTCTCCACAGCTCTTGGAGAGTTCTCTCTTTAATCCTGTGCTTTCTTGTTTGTTTAATTTTTTATCAGCATACATTTGTACATGTTGCAAAAGGGAGGGGAACATATTGCCTAGGTGTTTTTGGAAGAAGTGAGCAGTACGTCTTGTGTATGATCAATGGAATAACATTATTCAGCATGTGCAAGTTATCCTTGTTTGTCTCCTAGTGTATTGAGTAATAATAATGTTGTAGGTGAATATATCCTTCATGCGCTTAGAATACATCTGCGTAATGGAACAATCAACACTTATTTTGTTGGAACTCAGTGCGAAAGGCGAATTGAGCTGTTAAATGCCTTTTCTGGAATCACATTGAGCTCTGTGTATGTGCTAAAAGATTTGAACAGAATTCTAAGATGTTTATTTTCACATTGCATTGTATTTAAAGGTCTAAAGAGAAAAAAAAAGACCCAGAGAATGAATGTGAAGGAAAAAAAATATTTTTGATCAGGCCTTGTTGTATGAAGGGAGGTGGAGGATTAGATTCAAGGACCAGGTGTCTCTATGACCAGATGCCAATGTAAATCTTTGTGTTCAGTTTCATGACTGCCATTAGAGTATGTCAGCCTGAAGTTTCCATTTGTAGACATTGGTGACAGATATCTTGCTGAATCTGCTTGTGATTCAGTTACCGGCATTGTCATATAGGGATAATACCCTGTTCAAAAGATTCCACAATTCAATTACATCAATGTGCTCTTCTATACTTAGTATTGTAGCTGGTGAACATGTTTATAGCTATTTGGTTAGGATACACATTTTAACATTATTCTGTGAAGCTCAAGAGGCTGGGTTCCTGCCACTGCTGCTACATGGTTGGCACATTGCCACTCTTTCAGTGGTGCTCAAAGTGAAAAATATATATTTTAAATAAGGTTCATAAAGTCAATATTAGTTTTCTAAATAAATCCAAATGTATGTATTTGACTTTGAAACCACCTTTTCCAAACTGTTCATCTTACATAAATACATATGAGAGAATGCTTAACTAAAAAGTCAAATCATCTTACAGTATATTCAATGAAGCGCTTTGAAACATCTTGTCAGGGTTATGAAGTGCAATAGCAAATGCAAGGATTATATTATGAAAAGAAACCTCCATCTATATTAAACTGAGAGGGGCTGTATCTGATAACTGGCACACAGACTAAGAGGAGCTGCACCTGTCAACTATTTCTAAGTTAATAGGAGCTTGTAGCTAGTCCTGGACTAAGAAGGGCTGTGTTTTATTACCAGTGGAAGCCTCACACCTCTCTAGTATCTTTGAGTTGTCACTTACATAGTGCATCTGGTACAAAGAATTCAATACTGTCCAAGCAGCACTGGTTACGTCTCATACGCATTGCAATGACTGCTATTTTTTACTTAACAATGTTTTGTAACCCATTGGAGTTGAGATATTTGTGGTCTCTTCCTAGGATGATTATGTAATTAGTTTCAGCTGCCAATAAAGTTTGAATATGAACATGATTTGATGTGGTTTCATTTTTTAAAGTAGATAATCAAAACAGTCACTTCTCTTGAACAATATGGTTCTCATGCAACAACACAATAGCTAAAAGTCAGGGTATAACTGCTTGCCTGTACTGTTCAAATCATGTTCATACTGCATGTACTAATGGTTCTGTTGCATGATTCTAATAATTTGCTTGAGCAACTGCTCCCAAAAGCAGTTGAAAGTTAATTGCAGTCCAAATAAAATGAATTGTTCATTTCATGGCTGATTTACTAAACTTTACAGTAAATCCTGTGAAGAGCTTTGAGACATCCCTCTGACACAAAAGATGCTATATCAAATGTAAGGATCATTTATTTATTTATCCTTCCTGGATTCTTTCAGTCAATTTTAGCTTCCCAAACAACTGACAGATAAATATTGTTTGCTCATTTTCTCTTTATCGTATAAGTACACAGGAATAAGAAAAGCAGTTTTCTCTGTGTAATTTTTCTTTCTTCTTTTCTTACCACAAACCATATCATATTTAATACTAGTATATTAGTATTGCCTTAAAACCTTCAACAGAGTTATTATTTAGTGGATTGATTGTAAGTCTACTGGTCAGAGGGATGGCTTGGAAC